CTGATAGCACCTCTATGATGGAGTGGCGTGGAAACCCTCGTGGACAACCAACCAGCAGTGACACAACCCCTCCTTCTTGGCTCTGGCTTTGATGTACATCCCTATCGGCGTATCAACTATCTTTACCACGCTGCGGGAAGGATCCCATGATTCTTCTGTCTAGCCAATCCCAGCACATTTACGGAGTGTCGCCTCTTTACGTGATAAGCGCATCATTCCATGCGAGAATCGTCTCATAATTCCAATTCACAGATTACGAAGTATACTACGGAGTACTTTTGTATACTTCACGAAAGCACATAGTTATTTGAAACCAGAAATAAGATCCACAGGTTTGGAAAATAATACCCCTAATTAAGCCCCTTTTATTTCGCCCTTTACGAGATACCCCGTACGCTACTTTTTTTCTAGATTCATCTGTGACGATATGTACTCCGTACAGTCAAGAAAGTACGTGGTCCCACTAGACTATGTCTTTAGTTTCGAATCTTAGCGAATAGGGGGTTGGGCAGCCCTACAAACTCTGCCCAGGTGAATCAAAGCACTCTATTTGGCATCGTTTCCACGGTTCATCTACAAGACAGTTTAAAACATGCGAACAGAGAGTATCTTGGTACAAGGTGATTTTTATCACCTAAACGATACATTTCTATGGAGTAGATACTATGGCACCATTTTATATCCGTAGGAGGTACGTGGTATGGTTTTGATCTACAACTACCATCAGAATAACCAGTGAGGGTCCCAACACTGGGTGCCAGAATGTGGTCATCGAAGCATTTCCAGTAATGATAGCCCCACGGGAAGAATCCACCCCCTGCTCGATAACCCATTATACCCTATCATGGCCCCCTTTTGCACCCATTAAAGCCTCCAAACCCATTTACCCTCCCGTTTCTGCCCTTTTTTGGCGGTCGCAGGTCCCGAGTCTTACCCCTACTCCTACTCCGTCCTATGAATGGTTGGAATTTACCGGTCATGGACGATCATACATTGTTCCAGTCGGGCTTGTCGATCTTACCTCCTCTCTTGTCAGCGTATGAACTAAATTTTGACACCATGCAAGTGCCATGCGTAGCGGAGCCCGGGCGCCTAGGGACTCTTTCCCGCTTTTTCGGGATGCATATTGCTCCATCTGACTACGTTGTAGTTGTGATTGTCCCAGTGACATACATTGTACCGTACATTATGCAGATACCTACTCCGTATACGTAATTTTTTTTGTAGAAAAAAACCCCCAAAACTAAATTATAGTGCCACAGCAGGACTACAGCCAGGTCCACATAGGTACTTCACTTTCGAGAAAGATAGAACATATCTCCCGAGCACATTACGGAGTAAATTAATCTTAATACTTCGCGCCAAGCACCGACTTGACCTGCGGTGTACACAGGGGACGGATTTCCCGTCCATCTAAGCTCTCCGATGCCCCCCCGATGACTCTAGCGTCCACTAGATCAACTTAACCATGGCACACTTTGATGAGGATGAGCATTTGCTTCATATTAGCTTGTATTAACTGTGGATTTTCTCACCCGATTTAATCTTGTAGATTGTAGAACATGCTAAACAAAGGTATACTTCCGACGGACAGTATTCGAATGAAATTGTGATTCAAACGTCTTTCGGGATTTTGGGTAGTACGGGAGGTGAGAGGTGAGAGCCACAATACAAAGTTGTGGAATAGGGGAGGGTCCACACAAGCTCGGGTATGGAGTCTGGCTTGATTTTGAGGCGTCGAGTCTCGAACAAGGAGGTTTCAATTATTGATTCATGTCTGTGGTCTGCAGTCTGTGTGCTGGTTCGGGATTTCACTTTTACTTTGGCGCCAGTATCTACTTACAAAACATACTCCGTAGATCCTAGGGGATGAATGCATGCATGGTACCTGTGTCCTGCACGTTGCACAATGTCCTACAACATACGATGTCCATACTCCTAGCCATTTAGCCTGGACAGGTCAGAAAAATCCAAAAAGAGAGGGCGGTGGATGAGTCATATCATATGCAGTTGGGTCTTGGCATAATCATGTGATCTCGCTTATTGGGCCAACCAGAAGTTGCCACCGATTTTTGGAATTTGCCACCGCCTTGTAAATTCTGCATAAATACCCCCAGCTCGCCCGGCCCTTCCTCCTCTTTTTCTTTTCTTCTTCATACTTACCTTGTTTGGGTGGATGCGATCAATAAGGCAGCTCACCACAGATTGGTCCCTGCATTGCACAGCGCGGCGGAACAGTCTGTTCAATGGCCTTCGTGGTCATTGACAGGCGTATTCTTTGGCACTCTCCATTCGTGGAACTCTTTTCATCAAGTTTTGAGCCAGTGGCTCGAGGTTGGAGATGAGATGTCAACTGTAGATACTGTCGTAGTCTTTAGGTTCAAATAGCAACACAGGCATTGTTTGTACGTGGCTGTACCAGAGAAACCATTGAACGGATATTACATGTCTCGTCCGCAGATACGCACTGTTTTGCCGAGTCCACTATCACATCCCGTTAAACGCACCTCAGTGGCTGTTGGCCGTCGAGATGAGTAAAGATAGCTCAATCACCTCGTCTTCATTCTACGGTCCTTTAATGTCCAGTGCCCCCTGCTCCCAATCCTGAACTGCTGGACTCTCACTTCCCGGCCCGTTTTGTTGACATGACGTCTGACTCGATGGCTTCGCCACACATGTGGCGACGAAGCACCAGGCCAATTCTTGCCGGCATAAAACCCAGTCGTGACATCCTACTGAAGCCAAACTCATAGCAGCTTGAATTCTAGTTTACCACTATTACTTCCTCGAGCCTAATTCTCTCAAGCCCACTACCACAATCACGACTAAGAACCTCAATCCCTCAATCTCAACCAAAATGCCTGTCCCTACTGCCGACCTCTTTGACAAGCAACAAAATGATCCCAACTGCACACAACCTCCCAGCTCTGCTACACACACTTCCCCTGACCATATCAACAACAACAGCTACTTCGGGACTGCGCCTGGCAGCTCGGCTAGTGCGTCGCAGAATGCTGATAGTGGTCGCGCTCTGACAAAGGAGGAGGCCGACCGCCTGTATGAGGAGCGGATGGAGGAGGAATACGCGAAGAGAGATGGCGGTGCCTAGGTCGGAACTGATTCGAGCTGATGTACCGTTGAACATATCTTTTACCGTGTGCTCCTTGTCTCCGGTCGATAGGAGCTCGTGTCTACAAACGATGATGGTGTTGCGCTTTCCTTTTCCTTCCCACAACTATTTACTATGAGTATAAATTATCAACAAGTTTTATTTTGAATTCCAAGCTTCTGGATTGATGAGGCGACCCTGTATGTTGGTCGAATGAGCCAAGAGATGCGTTGTCGTCGTGGTGGTCGAACTCGGACGTTAATATATATTTCTGTTGAGTTCTGTTAAAACCACGGATATTCCTTGTCCTTTCCCGTCGCACCCTTCTTATCGTGTATTGCATATATCGCTAGTATGAGAGCATCAACCTATTATATAGTCCTGGTCTAGGCTGGAGTGTATTAGACCCCGCAATGACTCACGCAGAATATTCGAAGGTTCTACTCGCGGCTTACTTGAATATAAAATCACGCTAATGGCCAGAGATATGACATGACCGTATAGCAATTTTCAATATACCTGATCGTGGATCTTCTTGAGGATAACACGACCGAAGGGAATCATAGATATATGTAATTGTCATTCCGTGATACAACACGAAATTCGATTCTAAACACATCACATATTCTGCCAAAATGGCCTTCTACCCCAATCAAGTTACGTCCGTGATCATTCCGGCTGACTTGGTACCTATCCACACAACTCGCCTGTATCTACGACCGTTGACGGTTGCTGATGCTGCAGCCATCTTTGAGATCCGACGACGACAAGACGTGGCAGACTGGCTGTAAGACCATCAAGTACTACGATATCCGGGGATAGATACTGATCTCTGACTATCTGTAGCTGGCCCAAAGTCCCCCACAAAGACATATCGGAGTCCGAGGCCGTCATTACTAAAAAGACATTCACAACACCGGATGCATCAGGCGCTGTTGGACGGAAGTTCTTCTTCGCCATTATCCGCTCAGAGGATCCAACACAGAGAGTTATCGGAGCAATGGGAATCAATGCTCTCAGCCCAGCCCCGTCAGTGGGGTACAATATACACCCTGACTTCTGGGGCAAGGGCTATGCCACTGAGGCAGTTGCTGGTATTATAGATGCATGGTGGAGGCTTGATAGAATGGTTCTCGACGGGCCTGTATCGGAGTTGAAAAAGGAGAAGTTGTTTGCGGCGTGCAATAGAGCGAATATTGGCAGTGTGAAGGTGCTGCAGAACAATGGGTTTAGTATCTATCGCGAGCAGTTGATCGAGGGTGATGTGGTTGCACATTTCGAGTTGGAGAAACCCACAACATAGTATGGCAGATGAAGTATTCAACTCACCCGGTGATATTCTGACGTTCGAGGGTCTGGGGGTAAAAATTGCCTGCTTAATCCTCATGTACTTTGCTGTGCCTACATACATCCTCCAATCATGACCTGTCACTGTAAGTAAAATTATAGTGGAGAATGTGAACACACTCCAGGGAACCAAGTACTCAATATCCCAGTGAAAACAACCTTGCAACCTTTTGACGCAAGATAATAGCTGGTAGACCCTGATGCCGACTATGATGCCTTTAACACCTGTATTACATCTTAGGTGCAGTAACGGTAAACATATTGTGCTCAATAGCAAATGACAACTGAAAACCCGAGTATTCACACTGTGCAATCCCCCACTTAACGTATATAATATATGAAAGAGAACTTCTTTCTTCATCCTTCGTCAACATTCCAGTCCTTACGGACATTCTCCACAGCACACATTTACACATCTGCATCAACACTTGCCTATCAGTGTTAGATCCCGGACGCAGTCATGTGAGCCAATGAACATAGCTGTGTTTGAGAAAGGTAAGATCTCAGAAACTAAACCGTATGTAGGGATCTGACAGGAATAGTCATGGAATATGGCTGTCCTTCAAAAGATGTGAAATGGATGCGCAATTTGGAACCCTCACGAGAAATTGTTCTCAGTGAGATGACACCGTTGGCATTTTGCGACCGTATTAAAAACACTACATGTCTGAGGGCAGCAACAGCTCAGATTGTGGGCACCAAACCCCTGGCCTCCTGCGTCAATTGCGAAAAGAATCCCTACCCATTCACTGAATGTGTAATGCTTCCAACCCTGTCCAGTGGTTGTTGCGCAAACTGCATATGGAAACATCTTACCAAGAAGTGCAGCATCATCAATGGTACACTCTCATATGCAACGGGTATCTTACTTTAAGCTAACAGCTATTCTACGAAAGGTGTGGTTCCTTGCTGGTACAAGAAGCGCCCGAAAGTCATTCCCCGCAAGGTGGTTCTCCAAGGAAAGGTGACCAAGCTGAAGCGAGAAGTAAGGTATTTTGATGATGCCTTCAAAGAAATCCGGACTGCTATGCTCGATTTTCTCAATGGAAGCCCCAATAGAGCACACCAATTTAAAATAAATGGTGGGTTGATGTCTCTGAAATCCCATGTTGATGGAGTGTTGGAAGCCATGAAGCGTGTTACTTTGAAGGAAGACGAGGAGGAAGATCACGAGGCAGAAGAAGAGGTAGAAGCGGAGCTAGAGGAAGAGAAAGACGCAGAGGTAGAGGCAGAGGAGACAGAGGCAGAGGAGACAGAGGAGGTGGGAATGGAAATGGAGGAGGAAGACGACAAGGAAGACGATTGAGCAACTACCACGACATGTCAGTTGGAAAAGGAAGCAGTCTTTCAGGCCAACCACTATCCCTGGTCAGGTATCCTTGGTGTGGCGTTTGCTGTATGAGGTCAAAAGAGAAAGAGATCAAGGAAGTGTTGTGTGGGATGTGATGTTATTTCCAAATCTTAGTGAAGCCTGTACGGCCTCTGGAATGCCTGCAAATGATAGTTATCCAACGAATTAAGACCACTGAAAATTCACCGTACATAATGGTATATTCCATATATCTCTTGTAGATGTAAACATGGTGCTATGAACCTTGATGGACCGTAGCAGATATTTATCGTCGAGGTAGTGTAGAATTGGATTTCTAGCTGAGGAGTTTTGGGGAAAAGAATGAGCTTTGTGTCATACATATGCCTACAATGCCTAGAGGTATGCAGGTCACTAATCCCAACAAGGAGACCCTATAAGCACATTCAACTGTTATAGTATATATAGGCCCTAATAGCTCTCAGCCTCAGGGGCCACGCCTGTTTTGTAACATGCATACGATAGCTTACTCGTCCCTTCAACTATCCATAAATGATCATTTGGGGAAATCTGCTGGTTCAAAGGCAATTATAGTTGGAGTAGTTACTACAACATATCCATGTAGCATGGATGTTGCCCAGGTGGACCTCAGAAGACTTTGTTTAGTCATGACATCACGTGTATAATAAATCACGTGGCTGGATGCGGCCAGCTTGACAGAGCCACCCGAGAACGAGTTCAACTAGAGCCCGGGCTATCACTATCTGCAACAACAGAGCCGAGGATCTGTGCCTTTCATTGAATATATTTGTCTACTGTCGCTCTTTAGCCTCCACCCTTTCCCCTGTCTTCTTACCAAAAGACACGGCTCCTGGTAGCCTCCTTACACCATGGCTCCGAGGGACACCTTCTTCCGCTCGGCGGATATGAGCTTGACCCAGCTCTACATTGCCAACGAGATCGGAAGAGAAGTTGTCAGTGCCCTAGGTGAAGTTGGTCAGGTTCAGTTTCGAGATGTAGGTGACGAAGAATACTTTGCTTTGATGCTCCCCACTGACCTCTTTCTAGCTCAACCCGGACACGAACGCTTTCCAAAGAACCTTCACAAAAGAAATCCGTCGCCTAGACAATGTCGAAAGACAGCTCCGCTATTTCCATCAACAGATGGAAAAGGCCGCGATCCCCATGAGATCTTCCTCGGATTTCTCCGATACATTGGCTGCCCCTTTAGCATCGGAGATCGATGAGTTGGCTGATCGCAGCGAGAGCCTTGAACAGCGGATTATCTCTCTGAACGATAGCTATGAGACTTTGAAGAAGCGCGAAGTCGAGCTGAGCGAATGGCGATGGGTACTGAGAGAGGCCGGTGGATTCTTCGATCGGGTATGTGTCTTCGAGTATACCATTGACAGACGAAGCTAACTGAATAGGCCCACACACAAACAGAAGACATTCGTCAATCCTTTGACAACGATGAAGCTCCCTTGCTCCGCGATGTTGAGCACCACGCTCCTCGCCAAAATGGAGACACCCAGGGACAGCAGAGCTTCTCGGAAATGAACATTGGATTCGTTGCTGGTGTTATCCCCCGGGATCGCATCGGAGCATTTGAGCGTATCCTTTGGCGCACCCTGCGCGGAAACCTTTACATGAACCAGTCTGAGATCCCGGAGCCCATTATAGACCCGATGACCAACGAGGAAGTCCACAAGAATGTTTTCGTCATCTTCGCTCACGGCAAGAACATCCTTGCCAAGATTAGAAAGATCTCGGAGTCGCTCAACGCATCCTTGTACGGTGTCGATGAGAACAGTGAGTTGAGAAGAGACCAGATTCACGAAGTAAACACCCGTCTCGGCGATGTTGGCAATGTCCTCCGCAACACCAAGAACACCCTTGATGCGGAACTATCCCAGATTGCTCGCTCGCTCGCCGCATGGATGATCATCGTCAAGAAGGAAAAGGCTGTTTACGACACATTGAACAAATTTTCATACGATCAGGCACGGAAGACGCTGATCGCTGAGGCGTGGTGTCCGACAAACTCTCTGGCTCTGATCAAGTCAACCCTTCAGGATGTGAACGACCGTGCAGGCCTCACTGTTCCTACAATTGTCAATCAGATCCGAACCAACAAGACTCCTCCGACTTTTGTCAGGACGAACAAGTTTACCGAAGGTTTCAAACAATTGTGAATGCCTACGGTATTCCCAAGTATTCGGAAGTCAACCCTGGTCTGTACACGGTCGTCACTTTCCCCTTCTTGTTCGCGGTCATGTTCGGTGATTGTGGTCATGGTGCACTAATGACCCTGGCCGCTTCTGCCATGATCTTCTGGGAAAAGAAGCTGGCGCGGACCAAACTGGATGAACTGACATATATGGCCTTCTATGGACGATACATCATGTTGATGATGGGTCTGTTCTCTATCTACACCGGTTTTATTTACAACGATATTTTCTCCAAATCTTTCACCATCTTCCCTAGTCAGTGGCAATGGCCCCAGGACATCCAGGCCGGCAAAATGGTCGAGGCGACATTGAAAGAAGGATATCGGTATCCGATTGGTCTGGACTGGAACTGGCACGAGGCGGACAACTCCTTGCTCTTTTCGAACAGTATGAAGATGAAGATGAGTGTTCTCCTTGGATGGTGCCACATGACCTATGCTCTTTGCCTGCAGTACGTCAATGGACGGCACTTTAAGTCCAAGGTTGACATTTGGGGCAATTTTGTTCCTGGGTTGCTCTTCTTCCAGTCAATCTTCGGTTACCTTGTCCTCACTATTCTCTACAAGTGGTCCGTGAACTGGCAGGAGAAGGGTGTGAACCCCCCCGGTCTCCTGAACATGCTCATTTTCATGTTCCTGAGCCCTGGTACAGTAGAAGAACAACTCTATCCTGGCCAGAGCTCGGTCCAGATTCTCCTTCTCCTTATCGCCGTGGCCCAGGTACCTATCATGCTCTTCCTCAAGCCGTTCTGGCTCCGATATGAACACAACCGTGCTCGTGCCCTGGGTTACCGCGGCCTTGGCGAGAACTCCCGGGTGAGCGCACTTGACGCCGATGGTGACCTGGACGGCGGGCTGGGTCGGGACAGTCTGGCTAGCGATGGAGAAGGTGTGGCTATGCTTTCCCAGGACATCGATGATAGTGAAGAGCATGAGGAATTCGACTTTGGCGACATCATGATCCACCAAGTCATCCACACCATCGAATTCTGCCTCAACTGTATCTCTCACACTGCCTCTTACCTTCGTCTGTGGGCTCTGTCGCTTGCCCACCAGCAACTCTCGATCGTTCTCTGGACCATGACCATTGGTAGTGCCTTTGAGCAGGAGAACCCCGTGACCCGTGTTATCATGATCGTTGTCAGCTTCTACCTTTGGTTCGTGCTAACCATTTGTATTCTGTGTGTGATGGAGGGTACTAGTGCCATGTTGCATTCGCTTCGTCTTCACTGGGTTGAGGCAATGAGCAAGCATTTCGTGGGTGAGGGTATTCCTTTCTTGCCTTTCAGCTTCAAGACCCTGTTGGAGGAGGACCCCGTGGACTAGTCTTTTTCTTTCTTGTTTTACTTTCTTTTTCTACAACGCACGGGATTGTCTCACTCCCTGTCTCCTTTTTGTATTGTAAAGGGTCTAGAATTATACATTATCTACGGAGTATACTGTACCGCACTGATTAGTCCCACCTGTTATTGTTCCATTGAGGTAGATCCGTACATGTATCCACACCGAACTATCAATTATAGCGCAGATATCCCCCTTTAATTAGGTACACCAATGACATTACCTAAATCTCACGATCTTTTCAAGTGCGCATGACTATGAGTGGGGTATAGGGAATTCATTCTTCCGTTGCTGATCCCGAGGCCGAGTCGGGCAAGGAACAGACCGGGAGGATCTAGACCATTGGGCAGCATATCTTCGATTATCTTGGACATACTGGTATGGGGGCATAGCGAATTGGAGAGAGTCTACGTGGGGTTATCTCTAAACTATCCAATTTCTGCAGGAATCAACAAATAAATGATATTTGATAGGAAGGTCTATAGTTAAGAGACGGGCGTTCCCGGCAAGGGGAAACCGAGGAGGGTCCGGGCAGGTCACGCGGGGCAAAATGACGAAAACGGGGGGGGTCTGAGGTCACTCCCCATACTCCGTACTCCCGTACTTCTACCCGGTTTGATCCCCTCCCCTCACTGACGTTGAACTATTTTATTCTCTCATATACTATCTTGTTTCAATATTGCCACTTTCTACTACTTAACCTACTCTTCCACCTGGAACTCAATTGCTATATCTTTCAATCTTCATACCTTAAATCCTCCAAACAATACCTCAAAATGGCTACAGCACCCCCCGTCGGAGCGGAGAACATCAACACTGATATCGTCACACTTTCCCGTTTCTTCACAGAAGAACAGATTAAGTACCCCGAAGCCTCGGGTGACTTCACTCTCCTATGCCATGCCCTCCAATTCTCTTTCAAGTCAATTGCCTACTACATCCGTCGTGCCTCCTTGATCAACCTTACCGGACTGGCTGGTTCCTCAAACATAACCGGTGATGACCAGAAGAAGCTGGACGTTATCGGCAATGACATCTTTATCTCTGCCATGCGTGGCTCCGGCAAGTGCCGAATTATCGTCTCAGAAGAAGAAGAGGAAGTGATCCGGTTCGACGAGCACCCCAATGCTCGTTACGCCGTCGTCTGCGACCCCATTGACGGTTCCTCCAACCTGGACGCCGGTGTGTCTGTCGGCACTATCTTCGGTATCTTCCAGCTCCCCGACGAGGTCCTGGGTCCCAACAAGACTGTCGGCCCAGAGGACCTGCTCCACCCAGGTACCAGCCTGGTGGCGTCCGGCTTTACCATGTACGGCGCCTCAGCGCAGCTCGTGATCACGATGCGTGGCGGCGGTGTCAACGGCTTCACGCTCGAGAACTCGCTTGGAGAATTCATCCTCACCCACCCCAACATGAAACTGCCCGCAGCGCGCTCCATCTACTCCGTCAATGAGGGTAACAGCCAGTACTGGGATGAGTGGTGCAACGCCTACTTCCACAGCCTCAAGTACCCCGAAAACGGCGGCAAGCCTTACAGTGCCCGTTACATTGGTAGCATGGTCGCCGATGCTTACCGTACTCTGCTGTACGGCGGTATCTTCGCCTACCCGGCCGACTCAAAGAGCCCCAAGGGCAAACTTCGTATCTTGTACGAGTGTGCGCCCATGGCGATGGTCTTCGAGAATGCAGGCGGCCTTGCTGTCAACTCGCGCATGGAGCGGTTGATGGAGGTTGTCCCTGAGCACATTCACGATAAGAGTGGTGTCTTCCTTGGCTCCAAGGATGAGGTCCAGAAGGTCATTGATATGTACAACAAGTACAAGAAATAAGCGTCTCGCTGAGATTTTTTTTTTTAATTCTTTATGGATGCTTGTTTCCCCCGGCATATTCCCTCTTAACACTATTTGTTCATCTATCTCATTCTTGGACATGATGATTTAACTGGTCGGAGTTTACATTTGGGGTACCCGACCTCTGCCTCGTTGCAGTCATTGTTGTTTTCAGCGCTTTACGATACTTATACCCGCCATAGATCGGGATAAAAAATAAAAGAAAAGAAAACCATTAAATTGCACTGTTCTGTAGTGATACCTACTACTCGTATACTCGGTGGCTCGTGCATGAGGATGGGAAACGCCACTAGATCGGGTCCCACAGAGAATCTGGGCATGCAGCTAACATGCTTATAGACGTTTAATTGTTTTGGCGCGGAATGTACCATCTTGACTAACTCCATAATAGCCCAGACCCTGTAGCAACACCGGCTTGCTTCAAGTGAAACATAAAACTCACACCATCTCTAAATTTATCCCCCTTGAGTCGAACCCCAAGGCCCCAACGAAGCAGAATGAATCAGAACGAATCAAAACCGTGTGTGGGAATTGCTTGATGCGATTTCGGTGATAGTGTCAATTTTTACCGGCAAATTAGATGACTCCTCATGCGAGCGGCCGATGGCGTGCTCCGAATCAACCCTATAACAGTCTAGAGCTCCCACGAGGGAAAAATGAAGTAACCACAGATAATTGATCGGCGCTGTCATACCCCCGTGCCCTAGAGGCCAGTGTTGTTGTTTGAGGTAGGTATTCAACTATGTCTTTACCCATCGAGAAAGCCCCGGGGACAGTGGAAGCCAAGGAAACCCCCACGAAATCAGAGAACCCACCGGCCTCTGAGCCCGCACGCCAGAAATGGTATGAGTGGTTTGCGCCGACAGATACCCCCGCCGAGCGGCGGCTGATCCTCAAGCTTGATGGACTGATCATCGTCTTCGTCTTCTTGGCGTACTGGGCGAAGGTCTTGGATTCTTCGGCTACAAGTACAGCCTATGTGTCTGGCATGAAGGAAGATTTGAAGCTTTACGGAAACCAATTGAATTATCTTCAAACGGTCTACATGTATGTCAACCCGATGGGTTTGTGATGGTGCCTGGGGAGTATGATTTGAGAGTTGATGCTGATTCGATATAGGGTTGGTTTCATCACGATGCAGATTCCTCTGACTCTGTTGGTTCGTTGTCATTTTAAAATCAATCGCATGGGGAGACGGATTTGCTGACTACTACTCATAGATGACTCGCTGCCCCGTGAACTATTTCTTGCCTGCCGCCGATCTATTCTGGGGTATCTTCACCCTGGCGCAGTACAAGGCCAACAATGTCACCCAGCTCTACGCTCTTCGCTTCTTCGTCGGTGCTCTTGGCGGCTTCTTCTTCCCTGCAGTACAATGGTACCTGGGCAGTTGGTACAAGCGCTCGGAATTGTCCCGTCGAGGCGCGATCTTCTTCATTGCCTCCCAAGTTGGCAGCATGAGCTCGGGGTACATTCAAGCGGGAGCTTATGCCAGGCTTGATGGCCGGTATGGAATTGAAGGGTGGAGATGGCTGTACATTATTTGTGAGTGTATCCCAAGTGTCTCACAAGAATCAAAAAAGAGACACAGGCTAACGATATCAGGCTTTGCATGCACAATCCCTATCGCATTCCTAGGCCTATGTGTCCTCCCAAGCACACCCGACAAATGCAACTCGCGCTTCCTTAGCGCGGACGAAGTCCGCCTCGCGCAAGAGCGCATGGCATCTGAGAGCCGCGAAGCCCGCCAACCCTTCACCAAGTCAAGGGTTCTCCAGATTCTCAAAGGCTGGCGGCTGTGGGTTCTTGTTGCATTTGCATTCTTTTTCTCACAGGCAGATGGTGTATCTTCAAACAGCGGCTTACCGATCTGGCTCAAGGAGGAGGGATACTCGGTTGAGAGCATCAACACGATAACGACAGTCTCGCCAGCAGTCACCATTGTGGCATCTGTCATCTGTGGTGTTCTATCTGATGTGTACGATGCAAAGGCTAGCTTGATTGCTACCACTGCTGTGCTGAATATATTTGCTTGCATTGTGCTAGCTATCTGGAATGTCCCTGTTGGGCTGAAGTTCTTTGCGTTCTTCCTGTCTGGTACCGCAGATGGTATTGCGGCTATTATTTATGCCTGGGCAAATGAGATTTGTGCTCATAGTGCTGAGGAGCGTGCTATTGTCATCAGTGCTATGAATACTATTGGTAATACCTTTGGAGCTTGGATTCCGCTTTTGTGAGTGTTGGTGCGACCTGCTGATGTCGGACTTTATACTAACCGTTTTTTTTCTTGTTTAGCGTGTGGAAGACCGTTGATGCCCCGAGGTATCTTATTGGATATAACTGGACTATTGCCCTTGATGTGTGCATGCTAGCTATGCTGGCTGTTCTATATCAGTTCTGGGCCCGTGAAAAGAAGCGGTCTCATGCATAAATGGGTGTTATGTTGTCATTCGATTGAAAGATAATTATATATAATTCTTTAATGATAGATTATAACTTTTTCGCCCGCGTTCTAGTGCAGCTATAAATCCATCAAGGTCATACATATGCTGTGCTGTCCATGGCGCCCGGATGGGGCGTCCACGGGTTGGGGGTACATGACGTAAGCAGAACTCGCCTATGGCAACGCTAGTCCCATTTCGAGCTAGCTCCGGCTGAAGGTGATTCCGCGCCGTTGGAGCTTGAAAAAAGTACAAATTTCTGTTTTCACTCTTTTCTCTTCCATCATCCTACGCTCATCTTCAGCATGGTTAATGCTTCCAATGCAAATGGAGATTGAGGTCGATTGATCCCTGGCCTTGATCCAAATCATAAATCTTGACACAATGTGTTTTTCACTAACCAACAGCCGGTCTGCAGGATCTGCGACGATGGTAAGATCTTGTCCGCTCCATTCCCCCCAACACATCCACGCACCTTCCAACATGATGATACCTTTAACCAAATACAAACTAGAGTCTTTGACCCCAAGGGGAATGAAACTTATGTTATTGCACGTCAGGCTGATCTCACATCATTGCTTTGAACTATCACACAAACTTTGACTTGGACTGCGCTAACTTGCTTTCCAGAAATGATAGTAAATACATCTCGTCGATTGCAGATACCGACCCAACATCAAGCGCAGATGGTGAGTTACCTTTCTCTCTTTACATTCTATATCTTTTCCCTATACCATGATGAACGCGATGTGTATGAAAATACGCTGGAAATTACCGTCTCAGACCTTCGGGTCGGTGATGATACAAATGGCTATTTCTGATCTTTACTTTACCTCAACATTTGCATGAAAATTCTTTTCAGACCACAAGCTAATGTTTCGAAGACCTAATAGGTTACTGCGCTACTGGCTCAAATGGTAAGCCTAAAGCACTTTTCCCACAAGAATGTCTGTCGAAGATGAAACGGCACTGGGCTCCGACGGCGTTTAAACAAAATGTCCGGTCATGATTGGAGATGCCCTTTTTGCGGCAGGCCTAGAAAACCTCGCCCACTGAGACATGTCATATATTCATCAACTTGTGAGATGGTTGCGTGACACAGTCACTAACCCTTTTGAATAGAAGCCTATTTGCTTATGACCGATTGAGACCCAACTGTAACTGTAGAAGGTATGCGACTGAGTCTGGTTTTTCTTTCTTGCTGCCCTACCTTCTATGATGATACCCTTTAGATGACGAGTCTGATTCGAGTTTTCGATGCTGACACAATCTTTTTAATAACCATTCATGCCTTTCTGACATTCATTCCTACACATTATTTCACTCATCAAATTTCCTTGGCTAGTGCTAATGATTCTTTGAAGGCAGATTTTCTTTTCAACATGAACTTGCAAGAGAGTTCTCATGTTTTGATTGTGGGTGTATGTGTACACCTTATCTCTTTTCCCTTCCCGACTTTACATGATGAAACGACACAAAAAAGACAAGCATATGTCCTAGTCAGCTTGCTGGCGAAGACGATAAACTGTCATGCCTGATCAATTCACAAGTCTCATACATTGCTACAATGTCTATTCAGTACTCGACGCTGATGGGATCTTGAACAGAAACACTTGAGCGAACTAATACTTGCAGACACCACGCCATTGGTGATCTGATTTACTCCTTTCTGTAAGTTTTTGACTTTATTTTCTTTCTTTCCTCATCCTTTTATGATGATTCACTTCAATTTATCACGACGGTCAACGTAAGGATTTATAATTGACGACCATCGCCTGTGACAAGGCTTTATCTGAAATTCCTCCATACACATATTGTTTCTTGCCATCGTTTGTTAGTCTTGATACTAATATCGATTTCAGTCCAGTTTCCAAAGATGTCGGAGCCGTCATCGGTCTTCCCTCGGTCAATGCACGTGGCAGATAGAAGTCGGCAGTAGTTAGGAGTTTAATATACTCAATACCAATTATATTTCAAAGAACCCTCTGATCCTTGCTCGATGTATGAAACTATTTGTCTTTTTTTAGATATTTTCTACCCTATGGACACCCCTGCATACTCTAGTCACACTGTTAAGATAAATGGCCCCCCATAATCCTCTGTGGTTTGTTGTTTTATTGCGGGGACAACAGGGTACAGGGGTCATTGGGCCTCTCATAGAGAACGATAAGCGCCGAGCTTGGGCCCCGGATGTGATGAGAACCTCGCCAGGTGCATAAAAATCCCCGCTTCGGACAGGCTCATTTGTTCTCGATCAGATTCTGCTTTCTTCTGTTCCAAATATAGATTTCTTTCTACAATGGGCGCACCGTCCATCTGCCTCTGCCGTACAGAGTACTACTCCGTATGGGCCAGGCTATCATTTCCCCCCCTCAACCTTGACCTCCGCAGTTGCAAAGAATAGAAAAATTAGCGTCTCGCCTGTTTCGAGCCAATAGCTTTTTCTCTGTTCTGTTGGGCCATCCTCTTCCATTCCAGGCGGCCATGGCTTCGGATCGGGCCTCCTAAATGGATGCACAGCCCAATATGAATAGGTGC